CTTGTCTTATGAGTTTGCAACAGACTCAAGATTGGAAGGGGTTCCTGTTCAAACTGTGACTCTCGCGTTGGCGTCGCGCACATACGTTTTGAAAGTTCGCAGCAGTGTTGATACTTGGTATGGTTGAAGTTCTTGGAATGATGGCATGGCATGATGTTGGATCCTCCGGGCGCAGAAGTCACGTTGATCCGTTGTGTTGAAGTCCAAGGAATGGCGTCCTGGCGCGATTCGAGCTTTTCAGAACGCATCGGTCAGATTGATTCGCGGTGCTGGGGTCATAGAAATTGTGTATGCGTGTGTGTGTGTGTGTTTTGACACGACCGCATGTTACCAGACGCTTTTTTGTCCGACGGGGCACCTCCCGCAACTGACACACGTTCTGATCGGGGTATGAAGATGGAATTTGCAGGCGGGGTCTACTGCAGCATCTTTGATGCGCCTTGGGTTTGCACTGATCCTCCTGTTCCTCCTCCCCCCCCTCATCCTCCTGGCGCCATCGAGCGGTGCTGCCGTCGTCCTCCTTCTCCTTCCTCCCCGTCCACTCCTCCACCCCTCCGGGTCCATTCTCCTCCTCCTCCTCCTCGTCCTCCTCGTACTCCCCTCCTTCCGCCCCTCCACCCCTCCTCCTCCTCCTCCTCCTCCTCCTCCTCCTGCTCCTGCTCCTCCTCCTCCTCCTCCTCCTCCTCCTCCATTCTCCCCTCGGGCTTCAGCTGGCACGAGGGTCTGAGTGCGAGCCCGTCCCCGGAGGGTGCCCTGCTGCTCCTCGCGCCCAGGCCCCTCCGCCTCGCGGGAGGGGGGGCCCGCGGCTGGCGCGCGTGTTATATATATATATATATATATATACATATAGACTATACTTTTTAATATATACATATATAATAATAATAATAATCATAATAATAACCAGAATAATAATAATAATGATAATACTAATACTAATACTAATAATAATAATAATACTACTACTAATAATAATACTAGTAATGATGATAATACTAATAATAATAAATTCTCCATGGGGGGGGGGCCCGGCCCTCGGCGCAGGGGCCCGTTACCAGCCTCGAACGTATCCCTATCCTTAAGATTGACACGCCAAAAGGCGATGACAATCTCAGGGATTCGCCCTCAAAAAATACGGGAATCCCCAAGATTGGCATCGTGATGTGGAGGTGCCCAGCGTAGGGATAGGGATATTGTTCCAGGCTGGTAAGCCCGAGCTCCCTCGGTGGACTGCACCGTCGAGCAGGATTAAGGCGGGCGTGTCCCCCATACAGGGGGATCTTTGAAAAAACACGTATGGAACTCATACCCCCCGCAACCCGAAGTTCGGGTCTTCGGGCTGGGTTGGGGAGGTCTGGCAGGTGTTCGTGGACTGCACCGTCGAGCAGGGCTGCCATCCCTCCCGCCTCCCCCGGCGGGTTTTGCCTCGGGCAGCGCGCCCTTCGAGCGCCCGCCCCCGAAGCCCGGGATCCCCCGAGGACCTGCCAGGCCGCGGCGTGCGCCCTCCTCGGCAGATCGCGCGGGGGCCCGCGGCCCGAACGCCCGGCGAGACCTCGGGCCTTTGCGAGTCTGACCGTGGCATCGGCCCCGTTCCGTTCCGCCCCATGCCCTTCCCATCCTGTGGGCCCGCTCGATCCCAATGCCTCCCTCCCTTCCAATCTCTCCCTCCCTCTCTTCCACTCCCATCCCCTTCCATCCCACTCCCCCCTGCCAATGCTGTGGGCCCGCTCACTCCCTTCCAATCCCTCCCTCTCTTCCAACCCCTCCCTCTCTTCCAATCCCTCCCTCCCTCCCTTCCAATCCCTCCCTCTCTTCCAGGGCCAGGTCCTCCAGAAGAGGCCGGGAGGGAAGAGAGGCCGGGAGGCTCCTGCGGGGCAGGGCCCTGATGTGTCAGCCGGCCCAGGGCGTGAAGAGAGGCGGGAGCCTTTGCGCCGAACATGGCGCTGCTGCGCACCCAGTACACTCCAGGCGATGCTTAAGAAAACCTAAGTTTTCGGCCAGAGTCTCGATTATTCTTAATGTTTCAGTGTAGATCCCAATATTTGAATAGGCGTTCTGGGTTTTTCGGCAAATTCTGAGACCATGAATTTCTTAACCCATGATTTCTTAAGCATTTCGCAGGGTGTACATTCATGGTGGGGGCGTTCGTGAGGGAATGTCCAGGAGGCTTCATACCCAGGAGGATTCCTTAATCGCAGGGGGGCGGCGGTGGTATGCATGGCCAAGCCTCCACCAGCATCCCACCGGCCGCCAGACCCTGAGCTCCTTCGCCAAAGGTTCCTTATCCGATGCCTTCACGTGAGAAGACCCGCTTCCAGATCAGAGTCTTGGTGTTCTTCGCATATGTCGCCGTCCATCTCGTTCGCTTCACCAGGGGCCCATATGACGCGAACACACTGGACGCCGCTCGAATAGAGAGCCCTTGCCAAGGGCTCTCTACTTGAGCGGCGGTCATGGCAAACACGGGGTCACACACGCGCGTTGGGTCACGGGGCGAATACTTGGTCACATGAGCCCCGCTGGGCTCCCGAGGGCTCCCGAAAGGGGCCCCATGCCAGCCAACACGGGTGTGTGTATGCTGCGAGTGGGCAAAACTACGCAATGAAAGCGGCCAAATGTTAGAAAATCTGGAGTCCATGGAGTCCACGGTAGATTGTGGAGATGCCCCTGGATTTGTAGTTTCGGTTCTCCCCCTTTCCTTCCATTTCTTTTGTTACAGCAGTTTGTCTTGGTAGTGATGTTTTTTCTGTTGGTTTCTGTGAATTCTGCATACCCGGTTCTAAACGACCACCGTTTAAAACAACGAGTCTTGCAACATCAGTTCTTTTTAGGTCGATGGTTTCCAAGTCGTAGTCTCCAGTGTGGCAGCATCAAGACAATCAAGACATGATATCGGCTTACCAGCGGGTCTTCCCCAGAGATTTCTGATCCCCGCTTGCACCAGGGACGAAAAGAGAGTCTGGGCCACGTGAGGAGCTTCAACCACATCGACGCAGACCCAACACGCCTTACAGCAAGATGTTTTCTTGTATGGGTTCACTGTCCAGTTTAGACGGGATGACGCAGGGCACCAGGAGGCTCAGACACTGCTCTTGGCCGCCCAAACAGGTCCGAGCAGGTGGGGTCGGGGGATCTCGCCGCATCGCCAATGCATCGGCGATGCGGCTCGATGTGGGGCCCGATCTTCTCCACCTCGACGTCGCTGATGCATCGCCGACGTCGCCGACGCATCGCCGATGCTCTGGCGATGCATCGGCAATGCTTCGCGATCCGACCCATCTACTCAGACCCCCTCCTTCGACCCCAGAGCTCCGCCGCCGATTTCTGCTCACAACGCAGGCCCCCGATCTTCGACCCTGTCAGGACTGTGTTTCCATCCTGATCTGTGTTGTTGCTGTCCCCAGGGCCCAGCGGGGACCCCCAGGGCCCCCCAGGGGAACTTTGGCTCAGCGTGTCGCGCCGCCAGTTCTGAGCAACCACCGCGCGCCTGTGCGAGTTGCCAGCCTGTTCCCAGGTCCCAGGCGTCAACGTCCCAGAGCCTCTTCCAGCCTCCCCCTCCCGCGGAGCGGAGCCACTCGCTGTCCGCTGGCAGGGCATAGCAGGCCGCGGGGGCCGCCTCCGCGACGCGCTGTGCACAAGCGCCCGACCGTAACCCCGCGTGCGGCTTCGGTAGCTAATCGGGAGAGCCCTGTGCGCCCTCGAGACCTCAGTCTCCTGAGTGCACCATCTTGCGCTGGCGTCTGGTGCTCGATGGGAACGCGCAGATCCAGCGTCGATGTTATGTCGATCGGCGTCGAGTGGCATCGGTTCGCGTCCATTCGCAAGGGCCATCAGGACTGCACGGGAGGCCCTCGGAAGCTGCCACAGGAGAGCCAGCCCTTGCCCATCTCGAAGGGGACTGGCTGTCGGCGACGCCGCGGTCGGCGTCGACCTGTGTCAGCCGACTGCATGTCCAGCAGCGGCCGCTGCCGGTGTTGCCGGTACCCTTGTCGGGCGTGCCAAATGAGCGGTGCGAAAAAAACGGGTTCGACTGCGCCGGCATTGGCGCGTAAGCTGCCCACGTAATCTCGCGCGTGAGCGCCCCAGTCTCCAATGGGGCGTGCCGCGCGGGCGGCCCGCGTAAGCCACCGCGAAAGGTCGCCTATACGTCATCTCGCGTAAGACCCGTCTTTGATCGTCGCCCAAATGTGTTCTCATGAGTTGCCACACATGATGGGCCTGCTCTCCGCCACCACCACCACCACCACCAGTTGGAGGGGGAGGGAGGTGAAGGAGGAGGAGGAGGAGGAGGAGGAGGAGGAGGAGGAAGAAGAAGAAGAAGAAGAGGGGGAGGAGGGCCCCCTCCCCCCTCCCACTTCTGGCGCTGGTGGTGGAGCACAGGCCCATCAACAGACGCGCGCGACCGAGGCTCGCGGATGAGGAGATGGCCCTGAGCTCCAGCGCGCCCGCTCCATGGAGCCGCCGCCCCGCCGGCCGCCCAGGCGCCGCCGCCGCTCCGCGCCCCGCGGCCCTGGCAAAGGGGCCCCGGCCCGCGGCCGAGCCGGCACGCGGCCTGGACCGCGAGAGGGGAGAACAGCAATGCTGAGCCTCCTCCTCCTCCTCCTCCTCCTCCTCCTCCTCCTCCTCCTCCTCCTCGGGGAGGAGGAGGAGGAGGAGCGGCAGGGGAAGGAGGAGCAGCAGGACCTCCGCCATCACACAGTGATAGGAGGAAGAGGAGGAGGAGGAGGAGGAGGAGGAGGAGGAGGAGGAGGAGGAGGAGGAGGGGGAGGAGGAGAGGAGGAGGAGGAGGAGGAGAGGAGGAGGGGAGGAGGAGGAACGTGGGAGGAGAAAGAAAGAGGGGGAGGAGGAGGTGGAGGAGGAGGAGGGGGAGGAGGAGGAGGAGGAGGAGGAGGAGGAGGAGGAGGAGGAGGAGGAGGAGGAGGAGGAGGAGGAGGAGGAGGAGGAGGAGGAGGGAGGAGGAAACAAGGAGCAGGAGGGACCCGCCCGTCCCCCCAAGGACCCGCGGGGGGGCAGGGCCCGCTGGCACGCGGCGCTCGCCGCGGCCGCCGCCCTCGTGTGGGGCCTCCGCTCGCCACGGAGGCGCGCGAGGCTGAGGACCCGGCCCGCGCGCCAAAGATGGGGGCGGAGGGCGCGCGACCCCCGGCAGCACCGCACGCAAGGCTTTGCGAGGAGTGACTCTCTCGGGGAACGAATGATAGTCCGTGGCTGTTTTGTTAGGGGAACAAAAAGTGACATGAACGTAAAAACTCGGAGGTCCTCGCGGATTTCTCGGAGCGGCGCTGGGGCCCCCCGGCGGCGCCTCCGGCGCGGCCCCTGGCGCGCTCCGCGCGCCAGGGAGGGGGGTCCAGCGCGGATACGAGAAATCCGCGCGGACCTCCCAGTTTTTATGTTTATGTCATTTTTTTGTTCTTTATTGCTGGCGTGGGCCCTGCAGGGTAATCCACAGGTGTCGCCGCAGCCGTTGCTTGTCGCCCGGCGTGGCGTGGCACTTCACCGCCCGAGGCCCTGGGAACCCGCGGGCCTCTGGAGATCTCAAACAAAAAAAGCATGAACACAAAAACTAGGAGGTCCGCGCAGATTTCTTGGATCGGCGCTGGAGACCCCTGGCGCCACCCCTGTCGCGCTCCGCGCGCCAGGGTGGGGGGTCCAGCGCCGATCCGAGAAGTCCGCACGGACCTCCGAGCTTGTATGGTTATGTCATTGTCCGTTCCCCTAGTGAACGCCCCAGAGCCCGGATACAACCAGGATACATGTCCAGGGAAGCTGTATTTGCCTCCTTCACCCCCTCCTGCGTGCAGAGCTCCAGCACGGATAGAGAAGGCATAGCTCAAAGGGAGCCCGTCCCAGAGCGAAAGGGCGTGGGAGAAGCAGAGGGAACCGTGGTATGGCGGATGCGGGAGGGTGAGACGCGCGCCGCCTGATGGTGGAAGCGGCTTGTAGGTCGCCACCGCCCAGGGCTGTATCGCCCCCCACCCCCCTCCCTCCTTCCCCTACCCCTTTGCAATAGTCTTTGCAATAGTCTTGACGAGTCCAGCTGCTAGTGCCGCCCTCAGTCTGACCAGCCATCAGTTGAATCAGAACTGCAATCCAAACAAATCCCCTACACCACCGTGGTTGCCTGGCGGCGAAGTGTTTGGTGTCATGTGAGGGCCGCCACCCTGGCGCCCCGGAAATTCGCAATGCGGGTTGCAGGGGGGCCCCGCGGGAAGTTCCCGCCAGCATCAGCGAGCAAGCGAGCTGCAGCCTTACACAGGCATACCGCCCAGCGAGGCAAGCAGGAGGATTGCCGCGCCGAGGGATGAACTGACCCGAACTTCTCCTCCTACTCCGCCTCCCCATCCTACTCCTCCTTCGCCTCCTTCTCCTCCTCCACCTCCTCCTCCTCTCCCCTCTCCTCTCGTCGCCCTCCCCCGCGATGCGAGGAGGGCTGGGCGCGGCGGCCTCTTGAGCGGCTGCGCGAGCGCGAGGGGCTGGAGGACGTCAGGCAGGAGTTCGGTGCGGCTGCGGGCGGGAGGGCCTGACAATCTGCGCATGCTCGACGAGGACGACGAGGAGCGGGCTCGCGGAGGAGGAGCAGGAGGAGGAGAAGGTGGAGGAGGAGTGGAATGAGGAGGAGGAGGAGAAGGAGGAGGAGGAGGAGGAGGAGGAGGAGCATCGGCAAAAGAATGCGAGGAGCCCAGTTGCGGCGCGTCGCTGTGGGCTGCTCCTTCCCGTGCCCAAATGTTCCCACTGGCACACGCTGACGCTGTCCTGCGCAGGGAGGTGGAGGAGACAGGACAGATCAGGGGGAGGAGGGCTTTGGCGCACTGGCGGACTCACAGCACCCAGGTGCTCACCTGGCCGCCCGACCACAGTGACCGAGGGAAATCAATTCTCGACGTTGGCGGGAGCACCCTTTCAAGTCTGCTCTGGTATCTTCAACTACTTCGGAGGCGGCTGTTCGCGCTTCGAGCAAACCAGCACGAATGCGGGCTGTGTCTCATGGATCATGATGGTCAAAGGGTGAGCAAGAGGATCGTTCCCTGCAGCGGCCCCGGGACCGTCCACAACAGGAACCCCCTCCGGACCAGGTGCGGCGAAGTACGAATACTGGTTGGCAGTGACATGCCGTGAGAGAATGTGGCCAAATAATATACAGCAGACCACGTTTAAAACGCACATTTCGCAGAGCAAGTGACGCACTGACTCACAGTCTTGTTTATGCTAGGGTCATGGCCCTGCTCGGTCACGCACGCTTGCCACACGCATCTGCAGGCTCGTGCGCGCACCACGCTTCCGCACGCGCTCGTGCCCGACACACACGTAAATATACGCATTCAGTTTGGATGATGGATGAGGAGGAGGAGGAGCAGGAGGACGAAGAGGAGAGGGACGAGCAAGGGGTAGAGAGGAGGGAAGCGGGAGGAGAGAGGAGTTTGATGATGATGATGCTGATGATGATGGTTGTGATGGGAATAATGATTAGGAGGAGGAGGAGGAGGAGGAGGAGGAGGAGGAGGCGGGGGAGGAGGAGGAGAGAGGAGGAGACTGGATAGAACAGCTTGAAGGAAGAGTCGGAAAAGGAAGAGAGAGGATGAAGAGAGGAGGCGGGAGAGGATGAGGGAGATAAGGAGGAGGATGAGGAGGAGGAGGAGGAGGAAGAGGAGGAGAGGAAAGAGGAGAAGGAGAAGGAGGAGGAGGAGGACAATGACGACGACGACGTCGACAACGGAGGAGGCCGCTATGTTCCTTTCGAAAGCCACCATGTCCTTTTCGAAAACCACCCGTCGGGTAATCAGTGCTCCGCTTCAAAGTGCCAGCTCAGGCACGCAGCAGTGACGACGCCAGTGGGGTGGTCCCTGCGAGCCCCTGGCTGAGCTGCACTCCAGAGGAACGAACGACGTGCAGATGCACGCTCAGGGGAGCTGGGAATGGGTGATGGTAATGGAGGATGACGATTAATAAATGACTGGGGGTCGTGTTCACGCGGCGGCGCCCGGGATGACGATGAGAAAAACCCGGCCGCGGGCTGGAAAACTATGTTTTTCATCGATCTCCTCCAGTCCGAAAACTGTGCAGACATAGCAGAAAACTATTTGTTCTAAATCGTTCTCTCCCATTTGTTTTCTTACTCGTCATCCCGCATTAGATGCACGCTCAGGGGAGCTGGGAGTGGGTGATGGTATCTGCGCGAAGGGGGGAAGCGTACAGTACACCCTCCACCGCCCATCCGTCGCCAGTGGGGCCTCAAGCGCCCCACCCTCCGCAGGAGCGCTCCTCGGTGCAGCTGCGTCTCGGGGGCCTGCCCCAGACCTGCCGGCGAGGCCTCGCCGACCCGGGGCCGACGGTCCTGCTCACCCAAGCCAGTCGGGGGTGGACAGACCTGCCCTGACGCGTCGATTCAGGAATTGGCCGTTTTCGGTTCGCGAGAGGGCGTCGCGGCCGTCGTTTTTACGGGTCCGCTTCCATCGGTGTCGGTCCGAGGCCGTTTTCACTAAGGGGAGGTTGAGTAAAGGGAGGTTTGTCCATCGCCGAGCCAGTCTCGGCGGCCCCCGACGGGCGCAGTGACCACGCCGCGCGGTGCGTCCCCGGGCACCCGCGGTGGCCGCGCGGCGGGCGGGGGCCTGGGCCGCTCTCCGAGGCTGTGTCTGGCGGCGGGGGCCTCCGGGGCCCCAGCGCCGTGCGGTGAAAGGGGCCCGCGCGCTGAGGCCGCGGGGGCTCCCGAGGTCACCACACGGTCTGCCACCGCGCCGCTCTGGGACCCCCGGCAGTGCAGCAAGCCGGGTGTGCGCTCGCGCCCCGCGGCCGCTGGAGGCCGCCCGGGGGAGCGCAGGAGGGGGGGGCCGCCTCCACCATGCGCACCCTACCCCTACCGCCCACGATTTCTGAGGGGGAGGGGTAGGGTTCGCATTTGGC